TCTCTCTCTCTCTCTCTCTCTCTCTCTCTCTCTCTCTCTCGTAAAATTCTCGGCGCAGCAACACCGATTTCCACTCGTTCAACTTGTTGCGTGATACGCTATAATATTGCACAATGCTTTTAATTCCTATTCTAAGATCATGCCGCCTTGCTTTAACGCGTCGGGAGGGTTTGAGGGCTATAACTCCGTCATGGTCGTTAGTCACGTTATGACACCTTATGAATCTTATTATCGTCTTGACCTGTAGCTATAACCGTGCAATTGTACGAACGGTTGAAGACAATATTATAACGCGGTAAACGTAAAAAAAGAAAGGATCCCGCACACATCACAGGGAAAATTTGCCTCCCGTCGAATTTGCTGAAATTGTAATATGATGTAGTTCATGCCTTGATCAAGAATCATAATGGGCCCGAGGTCAAAGAATGGACAGTTCCCGAGATACGGGAGGTCAAAGGTCAATAATAGTGCCTTATTCGAAATTTCTATTTTTTGTGTATATCCGCACGTGAGCAGCGTTGTTGTGTGCGTATGTGCCATTCTGTGAGCGTAGCCTGGTTTGATACATGGCAATATAGTAATAGGGCGTTCGCAATATGGCCACCTACGAAACTAATGCACGGATCGAGATCAAACTTGGCCAGCATGTTCACCGTCGAAAAAGAGTTTTATTTTTATTTAAGCATGCGTACCGTGAGTGGCCATATTACCCTCACTGACGTTATATTGCCATCTGATCTCGTACTCTCCGGTGTGACACAATGGTAGAGTTTCAAGATTGGTGATAGCTATATAAGGAAGACAATCGGTGTAGCCAAGGCCGAAACTCGCCGAAGTGAGATTCGGCCTCAAATAATTAAGCGACCCGATTCTCGACGACTCGAATCAACCTACGAAACTACGTTCACATACAAATACACATATATATGCGTAATATATAACAGCCATGAATATGTAAAAGTGTGAATAAAAATAACATCAGTAGTTTTTAAATTGCGGTCTCTCTTCGGAACCACTCAGTTTTATTTTGGGATTGCTAGGAGAAACATACTTAAAGTGAAACTGTGGCTCAACTGGAATCTAAACATTATAATTCGGAAATAATGGCTAGTAAGTTCTAAATATAACTGTGTGTTTATGTATAGATATATATATATATATATATATATATATATCAAAGAAATCAAAGAAATGTTAAAGATTTAAAATTTCTTTTAGAAGGGACACTACAAAAATCCTTCTTATTATTTTTCCTCAAAATTATGTGTTAACTCATATTATATAAATTTCATAGATGCACGAACAATGGAATGGCTATTGTTATCTTCGCCGATGCCAATTATTTTTATATTGCTGGCTTATTTATACGTCGTCTACTTTATTGGACCGCAATTTATGGAAAACAGAAAACCGTATTCGTTGAAAAGGTTTATACAATGTTACAATCTTTTTCAAATTGGTGCAAATTTTTGGCTAGTGTTTAACGTCATGACAGATGGTAGACCGTTCACTGCCGTGTGGAGATATTGCGAGTCACTCGATAAAATTTGCAGTCGTAACAGTGAAAAGGTATGTTTAAGCTTTTACATTGTCAAAAATAAAGAATAATTTGGATTTAAATTAGTACACTTTAAATATTTGAGAATTATATAATAAATAATTGTTACTCATACGACATACGCAATAATATTGATAAATTTCAACGTGTGAATTTGGAGAATAGATATAACTCTGTAAGAATTAACAGAATTGAGATAATAACGATTTCGCAGATAGATATAATTTTAATATTGCAGCAACTTGAAATTATATGGTGGACACTGTTGCTTAAAATAATTGATCTCATTGAAACCATAATATTTGTATTGAGGAAAAAAGATCGTCAGGTCTCATTTTTACACACGTAAATGAGTGGATGCGTAAGCTATAATCAAGAGTAAATTCCTCTACAGTAAATTCTACTATTAGCCTCTTAAAATAAGAGGATATGCTAGATATTTGCGGCGCGCGCGTTAAAGTTAAAAGACGATCGTCTTATTAGCTACGCGATGCGTACACGCTACCACACGAGACGCCCGTGTAGAAAGTTCAGCCCCTTGCACAATGCCAGGCAACAAGCAATAGGAACAGGAAATAATAAAAAATCGTTAATTACAACCTAAAATATTCGAATGTTATGATTTGTTGGCAACAGGCAATAGACACATAATTTCCAACGTGACGGAAACTCCTGTGTCTATTGCCTGTGTCACTGTTTATTCTGCATTTATACATTGATTTCTGATTTTTATTCCCTGTTCCTATTGCCTGTTGCCTGGTATTGTGCAAGGGGCTTTATTAAGAATGGCCTTATATAACATGCATAAGTCCTCGATCATTAGTTATATATTAGGGATGCCATAAGAAAGATTTCCTTATTTTAACCTGATGAGGTCCCTATCATTATTTATTAGGGATTCCATAAGAAAGGTTTCCTTATTTTTATCTAATAAGGTCCTTGTAAGGATTTGATAAGGATGTTTTAACTTCATAAATACTTATTTATTAGGGCTAACCGGATAAGGTCCCGATCATTATTTATTAGGGATGCCATAAGAAACGTTTTCTTATTTTTGTCTATTGAGGCCCTTGTAAGGATTTGATAAGAATGTTTTAACGTTTTAACTTTATAAACATACTATTTTCATAAATATATTTACGAACACAAAATTTCATGATAAGCCGGCACTGGTTTCTGACATTCACCCGACATTAAGAAATATTATATCATATATCTTATATCCAATTCAAAATTTTATTACTCTTTTTACACTGAATTTGTTTATTAAGATGATTTTTGGAAAATTACATATTTGCGCTGGTTATGTAGACAATATATAACACTTACATCAAATTAAGAAGTGGTCTACCATGTAAGGCAGTTGGCTCACGATCCAGAGGTCCCGAGTTCGATCCCACCAAGGTAGATGTTTTTTCCAATACAAAAAAATATTTATAATCATAGACTACATCTTAAGAAACAAATTTAGTTATAAAATAGTAATAAAATTTCAAAATAAATAATTTTTTTTATTTATTTCGGGTGAATATCGGAAATCAATGTCCTCTAATATTAAGAGGACTGCACAATCTTGAATCTAGAGTCTCATGATTAGAGGATATTCCTCTACAGTTTAAAACATCTTCTTAAGGCTCTATTTCAGAGGAAAATCCTCTAGCATGAACCAGGAACCGCTAAACTGCAGAATATTTTTTTTTGGGTGCAGAATCGTGATTAGCGATATCAAAAACCTTAAAGTTCAAATTTAAAAAATTTTCAATATTTGCCGTGCTGTTCTGGGCCGGAGTGGCCTTTAAAGGGGCAAAAACCAACGTAGCCACCCAATATATATATTGAGTGTATCATTTTAAGTGATTCAGCTGAATATCTCTTAAAGTAAAAAAGATTGGAAAAATTGTTTCAGACAAAAGTTGTTTGGTTCGAAGGGGGATATAAGATGGTGTCATTGGTTTGACCGTAGATGGTCGTTTAAAGCTCACGTGAACGGCACTTTTAATTTCTTAAATGGAAACCCTTGTTTTTCAATGCATATTCTTATAGCTGAATCTCGAGAGCTTTTCAAAAAACTATAATAAAGTATTTTTTTGTTAAGAACTTTTGGAATTATAAGGCTTGAAAGTTCTAGTATTTTGACATAAAATTACAAAATACCTTGTAAAACATTAATTTTACAGTAATGTTACCTTAATACTTTTATGCACAGAATAATGAGACGAATCAATTGGTATGAAAAAAAGGCATAGTTGTTCCTATAAGAAAACATATGTAATTTGCAACACGCATCTGCATACTTTTTCTTAAAAGCAACTACGTCTTTTTTATCCATCCATGGTTAATATAATGTGTCTTCCTTCAAAACGCGCGAAGGTTTTCCCCTACTCCATTTAACCTTCCGGACTTCCTGCTTATTTATTTTCGTGCTAACGCTATTGAAATAGCGTTAACTCCTCGCTGTCAGTGCCTAGTGCTGACCTTTGCATCAGCGCTTTCGGTTGTCCCGGAGTTGAAATGGAAATTTTTAAGCGTACGGCGCAACTGAACAGAAATAACGCAACACCTACCTACAGCGCGACGCCTATACCACATATCATCTCGTCTTGCCAAAAATCTAATAATGGTATTATAATAAAAATACACATGGATGTATTTGGCATTTAACGCTCTAAAATTTGCGTTGGAAAAATTGTTATATTTAGCAAAAATAATAGGTGGGGGTAGGGTTAAATTAAAAAAATGTGACAAATTTGAAAAATCTGATTACGCCATTGTAAAGAGCACAAAAAGTCATAAACATTTCGTACAAATGTTTTGTCGTCCTTATATTTTCGAAGATATTCGCTAAAAACTATAAAATCCGTTATTTTCAAGGGGTTGTTTCAACCTTTAAACGTCGAAATAAGCAGCAAAAAAAAACGAGTTTAATATTTTTTGATGCTCAACAACATATCCAAAGCGCATCCAAATCGGACGTTATTTTTAAGGGGTTGTTTCAACCCCTAAACGTCGAGATAAACAGCAAAAAAAAAAATACGAGTCTAATATTTTTTGATGCTCAACAACATATCCAAAGCGCATCCAAATCGGGTAGGGACACTTCCGACCGTTCCCTTGTTAGTTTGTCAAATTAAAATTGGTTTAAATATAAATTATGTTTGAAGTTGAAAGAGTAGAAAGAGAGAGAGAGAGATTGTGTTATTCTTTTTGCGGCCATCAATGTCGATTGTAATAT